TTTTTCTATGATTAATATTTTTAGAATTTAGACCGAGAGCCTGACAGACATTTGTTATTACACGCCTCTTCGATATATGCAATCTAATTTCATCTGGATTTATATCTAAATTTTGTAATGTTTCAATTATTTTTATTTTCCTTTCACTAGTATATTCTTCTCCACGTGCGAGTTTTATTATTATTGATTCAAGTTGAGATTTATTTTCATGAATGTGTCTGTATACCTGACTAGGATATTTTAATGTGGCAATTCTTATATTTTCACAAATGTATTTAAAAATGTCATGATTTGGTTTGAAGCCGATAAAGCCGTTGACCGTACAACAGGGATCAAAGAGCAAAATCGTTTTCGCAATTCTCTCCAATAACTTATAATTCTTATTTGATCCAACCATGGTTGCAATTTCAAGAATCTATAGACGAAAAAGTTTTCAAATATAAGTTTCAGAAACACAAACTGAAATGACACAGTCTCACCTGACAATCAACTATATCAAAATATAGTAGAAAGTGNAAAAAATATAATTTATTCCATTTCTCCCACTTACACTACTAATCATGCCATGCACTCCAATGTTGTCACAGTTTCATCACAGAAAAATTCTACTTTACTGATTAAATGAATCCTTCTGAAGGGGGTGTCAAATTTCGCAGAAATTCCTGGAAATGTGTGTATCGAGCTAACAATGCAGCATATTCACAATTTTAATATTCCACAAAGTCCAGAACATTGAAACCAATAAAGAACAAACAAGAGAGCTCGTGCTTCATTCCCAATATTAATCAGGACCTCACTAGCACGATTACCTAATGAGAATTTGCAGGTGTCACTTATTAACTTTGCAGTCTCCTTCAATTCAATAGGTGCTGAGCAGAAATGATTATTAATTATTGGAAGTATTTCCAGTGCAATAAGTATTAGTTTTGTGCCTCCTAATAAAGTTGTACTTATCACCCAACATTTTATTTTTTATTCAGGTCGTGAATTTTGAAAAATTATTTCTTGAAATCTAACCCTACCAAAACACTCTCGTAAACTTGATATGTATGCCAACAAACAAATTCTCAAATGTAAGGTTCAGACTTTCATTGACTAAAACTATAACTGGATTAAAAGCTAAACTCAGTGTCCTATCGAAAATATAAGGATCAATATGAGTGAGTAAGACAAAAAACTAACATAAAAAAAGAAGAAACAAATAATGAACATTAAATGTGGAAGTACGAGAAAGAAAGGAAATGATTTGGTTGTGACCCAAAATGTATAAATTCACCAAAATGGATGAAAAAATAAATGAAATATCAATAACACTGATCTGCAACAAAATCCTCCTTTAGATAAAAAATTGATTTCTCTCACTGCGCTGGCGCAGTTCGGAAAGCGACTCTATGGCGCTCAGTTGGTAAAAAAAAATTAANAATTTCAAGCCTAATCAAAACTGCGTACGAAGGTTTTTTGGGTTTTCAGTTGACGAAAGGGATAAAAATTGGCTTCCAAAATTATGCTGCAACACTTGCTCAAGAACGCTTCGAGGTTGGTGTGAAGGAAGGCATAAGTCCATGCCATTTAAAACACCTATGATTTGGAGTGAACCCCAGAATCATGATAATGATTGTTATTTTTGTATGACGGAGATAAAGGGCTTTACGAAAAAAAATAGGAACAAAATTAAATATCCGATCATAACGTCTGCACGAAGGCCAGTTCCTAGAGGCAATGAAACACCTCCCATGTATATTAATCGCAACGAAATTGTTGATGGAAATTGCTTCTTCTCAACTTACGAGTGATCTTTCAAGTAGCTTCTCTACAATGAAATCTTCGTCTTCATCTACAAGGTCATCAGAACTTCATCTCATTACGCAATCTGATTTAAATGATCTCGTCCGGGATTTGGGACTCTCAAATCCAAGGCTCAACTTCTTGGATCGAGATTGAAGCAATGGAATTTATTGGATAAAAATACGAGAATATCATATTTCGTAACAGACAAGAGGACTTTATGATATATTTCACCAAAGAGGAAGACTTGGTATATTGTAATAGTGCTGAAGAACTTCTACAAGAACTAGGATTCCCTGAAGGACCTGGGGAATGGCAACTATTCATTGATTCTTCTAAAATCAGTCTTGAAGCTGTCTTACTTCACAATGGCAATAAATATCCTTCAGTGCCCCTTGCACATGCAACAAATATGAAAGAAAATTATGGAAATATGAAGTTATTATTACAAAAAATTAAATATTCACAGTACATGTGGAACATATGTGCTGATTTAAAAGTAGTGGCAATGTTAACTGGACTGCAAGGAGGCTATACCAAATGTTGTTGTTTTTTATGCGAGTGGGACAGTCGCGCTAGAGATAAACAGTACGTTGTTAAAAATTGGCCACAAAGGGCTAGTTTAAAGCCCGGAGTCAAGAATGTAAATGAAGAGTTTTTAGTTTGTAGTGAGAAAATTTTTCTTCCACCGTTGCATATAAAGCTGGGACTTATGAAAAACTTCGTAAATGCAATGGATAAGGACGGTGAAGGCTTCCGGTATCAGAATTCAAAATTCCCCCGAATCAGTGACGCAAAATTGAAAGAGGGCATCTTTGCAGGTCCTCAAATGAGAGAGCTCATGAAGGACGAAAGTAGAGGGGATAAGAGACTTTTGGGGCGTATTCCCTAGGGGACGTACTTACGGTAGTGAGTGGGAAAGAGACGTGATCGACGCATAGAAGGATGGAATGAGCATCGAGTAGATTCATTTGATAGATAAGAGCGCGGTGGAATTACAAAAATAACATGTTTGTCATACAGGGTGTCTCATCGTTTGAGAAAAAACATGTACAGGGTGTCTCAAATATGTCAGCGTGGAAAATAGTAGTTGAATAATAATGAATGTAAAATCGTTTCAAAGAAAAAACATGGCCACGGGCGTTAAAGAAAAAAACATGGCTGCTGCCATACAGGGTGTCTCATCGTTTAGAAAAAAACATGTACAGGGTGTACGTCAGCGCGAAAAATAATGGTATAATAATAATAATGAATGAAAAATCGGATTAAAGAAAACACATGACGTCACTATGTACAGGGTGTCTCAAAATACGTCATTTAAAAAACGTTTAACGAGGCTCTATGGTTTTGACGTGTGATTCTTCAATGTGTACAGGGTGTCTCATTTAGGGAAAAAACATGTCAGGTGCGGGGGGCCTAACGTTTTAGCGTGCGATCCCAATGGGGGAAACGTTGGAAAATGGGGCAATGGGGGTATTCAGCAATGACATTTCAAAATACGTCAGATGAAATGGCATCTTTGGTGGCATCTACATCACCACAAGAAATTGTTTTTCAACAATTTAAAATGTCGTAAGGGGAATCTTTTCCCGGCACCAAACCATTTTGCGCATACGCACATGCGTATCTAGGGACTTCAGAATGTCACAGGGCATAGCAGTACATTTTAAGTAAGTGTTTTGTATTTTGGTTATTCAGAGAAAAATATAATTCCATTTTAGGCGTAGTTTTGGACGAATAGATCAACTTCTCCGACAAAATCAGAAGTCAGGGGGGTTAGCCAATCTGTTCGTGGAAGGTAGGTGGATTTTTTATTTGGTGACCAAGGATCACTATTATCAAAAGCCTAACAACAGAGTCATTTTCAACAATCTCCGCAGATTACGAGATTTCGTCGATGAGAACGAAGTAAATAATTTAACAATTCCAAAAATAGCGTGCGGTCGGGATCACAAAAATATATATTGCTCTTGTGGCAATACCTCCTGGGTGGGTGTGGAAATTTGCCACATCTATACATATATTTTGAATTCAGCAGTCGCTTGCAGAAGTTATAAAATTTTTTTTTACAAAATTCCTTTTTCGCAGTGTGCGACCCAAATGCGTCGTAAGCGAGGAATTATTTTCACGGAAGGCTTAGATTGGGTCACTATGATAACAAAGTTCTTTCACAATTCCATGCATAATGAAGCAGTTTTATATTTCAATTACTGTACAAGTTGATTTTATGCAACAAATATCAATTATGAGATTTTATATATTCCTATACGACAATATTCATTTCGCTGATAGTGCGGATACACGCCACTGGTCGTTCGGTAGAGTTCGGAAAATTTAGCAGCTGGGTCTGGCAGCCAACTTCACATAGGTGTA